CTGATCAGCGATGTATCGAATATGACTGAATGATTTCCTTGCGCTCGTGCTTTTCTCGCTTTCCTAAACCTCATTTCGAGTCTCCTTCTTGATACCCGTCGCATAGCTGTTGCTATTGATTAGCTTGCTTGCTCTCCCTCTGTCGTCATCTCTAGAAGCCGAGGTTTCTAAAGCGCATTACAGCTCCCATTCCGAAAATTGGGCTACAGCTCACGGTCGCTCCTTCAGTGTCATAATCTCGTGTAACCCCACGTGCTCGTGCCTTGGACGGCCTTTGGTCCCAATTCCTCGCAGCAAACACCTTCCTGAACACTTGCACTCCAACTCTACACAACATGTCTGCGAAATCAGTACAAGGGCCTGGCGGCAAGAAGCCCGCGTCGGCGGCCACAAACTTGATCGGTAAGCCTCGAGTTGTGAATTTGGAGGGTATGCGACCGCGATGGCAGGACACTGACGCGACATGAAGCCGGTGGCGGTGCTGGAATGATGGAGGCACTCGCGTGTCATCCTCTCGGTGAGTTACAAGTCCCCAAGCCTGCATTATCTGCGCTTCAAGTCTAATTGGATATCAGATACGATCAAAGTCCGCATGCAACTGTCAAGACGAGCTCGCGCTCCAGGAGTACGTCCCAAATTATTCTTTCGAAGCGGTCGGCATATACTATCCAGAACGTCACTGATAGGTGTCCATTACAGGCAAAGAAGCGCGGGTTCATTACGACCGGAACTGAGATCGTGAAGAGAGAGACAGCATTAGGCCTATATAAGGGATTAGGCGCCGTTCTCACAGGCATCGTCCCGAAGATGGCCATACGCTTCACGAGTTATGAGTGGTATAAGCAGATGTTAGCGGACAAAGAGGGCAATGTCGCGTCAAAGTCTACGTTTATGGGTAAGTTTGAAGCTCGCGGAATCGCAAGGCGCATCTTTTCGGAACAGCGTCTACTCAAGAATGACCGAATACTAACACTGTACAGCTGGTCTTGCCGCTGGTGTCACGGAGGCCGTTCTCGTCGTCACACCCATGGAGGTCGTCAAGATCCGTCTTCAAGCGCAGCACCACTCGATGGCCGATCCGCTCGATATACCCAAGTACCGAAACGCCGCGCATGCCATGTATACTGTCATCAAGGAAGAAGGTGCAGGCGCATTATGGCGTGGTGTCTCGCTCACAGCGTTGCGCCAGGGAACAAACCAAGCAGCAAACTTCACTGCGTACTCGGAACTCAGGGCACAGTTACAGAAGTACCATGGTACAACGGATTTGCCAGGCTACGAGACGAGTTTGATCGGTCTGATCAGTGGTGCTGTTGGTCCATTTACGAACGCGCCGATCGACACCATCAAGACGAGGTTGCAGAAGACGCCCGCGGAGGCAGGCCAAACTGCCATTCAAAGGATAGTAAACATCGGAAAGTAAGTTCTCGAGCGCAACCAACTTCCGAGTGTTAGCTGACAATTCACAGCGACATGTGGAAGCAAGAAGGTATCCGCAGTTTCTACAAGGGCATCACACCACGTGTGATGCGAGTAGCCCCCGGTCAAGCTGTCACGTTTACCGTGTACGAATATCTGAAGGGTGTGTTGGAGAAAGGCAGAGAGATGCTCCCTGGTGGGGCATATGAGGAGTGAGCTTGCATTGTGTTTCACAGTCCGTTGAAGAGCGCCCTTCGATAAGCATAGGTTGATTTCCAAGCATGTTGAAGCCTGTAATTCATGTGAAATACAACAACAAATGAATTTCAGAAACGCCACTCAGGGACCAGACTGCATGATGGAAGCAGGGCTGCCAAGGTGCATCGGCCGTCCAGCCCACCTGCCCCACTATAGTACAGCATCACCGCTGGTTCGACGTCAGTGTACACGTTGAAATCAGTGCATTCAACAACATTGCAGCCTCTACTTTGAGTGTCCCGACAACCACAGAATATAGTGCAGTAGAGACTTGCCAAGATGCAGTCTGGTATCTCCGGTAACGATCTTCCAGCGCGTTCCAACCTCGCACCCCACTAACAACCCCCATAGCTTCCCAGGAGCTCAAATCCGCCGTCGGCAGCCTCATAACCTCAAGCTCGCAACGCGGAATCCTAGCCACAATCCAAAACGAAACCATCATCCCCAGCGACACCATATCCTCGTCAGCATCGACGTTTCTCGCCGACCTCTCCAATCTCCAGTCCCGCATCCAGCCCAATGCCGCACTCTACATCCTCCTCCGCCGCGCCGACTCGCTCTCCTCGCCCGACAAATCCCTCGTAGCCGTAACATACGTACCCAATGCCGCGCCGGTACGCCAGAAAATGCTCTTCGCATCCACGCGCCTCACACTCGTGCGTGAACTAGGCGGAGAGCATTTCAGCGAGAGTGTCTTCACGACCGAAGCATCAGAGCTCACGCCGGAGGGCTGGGAGAAACACATTGCGCATACAGCGTCTGACAACCCGCTGACAGCGGAGGAACAATCTCTGCAGGATATCAAGGATGCTGAGGCCCTGGAGAGCAGAGGCACACGCGGCCAGGGTCTGGCCCAAGGAGGCAGGATCGCTATTCGGGCTGATGATGAGATTGGCGGCGCGTTGAAGAAGTTGGGACAGGGTGGAACGGATAACCTCGTGCAGTTGCGCATGGATGGCGCGTCTGAGACGCTTCAGCTTGTTTCTTCTTCGTCGGCGACGCCTTCGACTCTCTCACGGGCTATTGATGCCAAGGAGCCGCGGTACTCGTTCTACCGTCATGACGACGCTGCGGCGAGTATCGTATTCATCTCGACGTGTCCGAGCGGAGCGAAGATCAGGGAGAGGATGCTGTATGCAGCGAGTAGGGGCAATGTGGTCAGTCTGGCGCAGAACGATGGTGGGCTCAAGGTAGAGAAGAAGATTGAGGCAACGGATCCGGATGAGATCACTGAGCAGGTTATCCTGGACGAGTTTAAGGTGGAGAAGAAGGAGGAGAGCAAGGGTTTTGCGAAGCCGAAGAGGCCTGGACGGCGGTAGATGGCATCGCAGGTATGAAAGTGGACAATACGATGGGCGGCAAAACTTATCATCAAAATCCTAGACATCAAGATGACAATGGATATCTTTTGCATCATGCTGCAAAAGTACGACTGGCACTGTGCTATTATTTACTCTCCGTTCCTCAAGAAACCCCGGTTACCATGCGGCCTCCTCTCCATATTCTTCCCGAATCTAACGCCAGGTTTTCCTCCCTTCTTGTCCATTTCACGCCCCTTCAACCAGTGTTCACGTACGTTCTTCGTATTCCTGTTGACCTTGGGCGGCAGCACCCGGTTCTGCTGTGCCAATACCGCTACGCTGAGCTTGCCCTTCTTCACATCCTTCGCTGGCTTATCGACGCGCTCCAGAAACTTTATGTGGTGGTTGAGCTTCTCCTTCCTGAGTTCCTCCTCCGTCTTTCCGCGCCGCTGGGGCGGTGGCGTAGGTGGGCGTTGGTCGTCGATGGTCTCGAGGAGGGAAGCAGGCAGGAGACCGTTGGATACGTCGATGTCCATGCGCGACGCAACTTCTGGCTCTTTGTCGAGGGGGCCGGCGGCAGCCTTTGCTTCCTTGGCAGCTTTCTTCGCCAATTTCTTTGCCTTCTTCTCCTCACGCTCGCGCTTTGCAGCTTGTTGGGCGGCAACGAGTTCCTCGCGCGCTTGCCGCTTGGCCTGCTCCTTTGCTTGCTGAGCCTTCTGCGCGCGGTCGGCTTCGGCTTGCGCAGCTCGTGCTTTCGAACCTGCAGCGGCTGTGGTGACTACCTCGGGGGCTTCGTCGTCCGAATCGCTTGCTTCGTCCTGGTCGACTTGGCTTGTTTGCGTTGGGGGTAGTGACTCGATGGGCTGAGAAGCTTCATATCGCTTGTGGCCTTGCTTGATCGCAACGGGCGAATCTTGCGACTCGGCAGGCTCCTCGCTACCAAAGCGTCTATGCGTCTTTTCAGGTTGTGCTGAAGGAGGCGCGTCGCCTTGCGAGGGTATAGGAGCTGTGCTGCTCTCGTACGAGGACGTTGGAATATCGTCGGGGAACTTGGACGGCGTCTCTACAACCTTCTTCGGGCGGCCTCTGCCTCTCTTGGCTGAGCCTGGTGCTAGCGTCTGGCCATCTCCCGTCTTAGCCTTGGGTGTAGGTGATCCCTCAGGTTGCTTAAATGTTGTGGCGGGCGTCGCGTATACTGAGCCTGAACCTGAACCAGGCTGCTGCGCTGGTGTGTAAAAGGACGGATTTTGTGAAGTTGCCGGCGCCTCTTCCCTGCCTTCACCGAAGCTGTCCGTGGCCGTCGAATCATCCGGTGACTTCCTGCTGACCACAACGTGGGGGCTCGATCGGCGTCGGAGTGGCAGAAATTCATCCTGTGTCGGCGTCTGAGGGTCTTGGGTCGCAGGCGCGGCGGCGACAGCGATTGTGTCTGAGACGTCCTCTACGGACTCTTGCGAAAGTCCTTGTGAAGGCGCATCCGAATCGGCGGTCTGCTTGGCAGATCTTTTCTTGGAGGACGACGTGGGCGCAGACTTCCTCTGCCTTTTCGTTTGTGTCGGCGTCTCTAGCGACTCGAGTTCTCGCTTTCCTGCGACTTTCCTCGTCGAGCTGCGCGGCGTCGGTGTCGGTGCGCCTGGCGTCTCTGTTCCGCCTCGTGTAGTGACCATTGCGTCTTCGTTGCTGTGGGTTGATACGCGTCGTGTACGAACCGCGGCTGTTCTTGTCGTTGCTATGTTGGTGGATCGCGCGATGTGGAAAAGATTCTGGCGTGCCAAGATTTCGCGGCCATTGCGGACCCCCGAGACTAGCGGGCCTGTGAATCCCAAGGATCACCGCATCGCCATTCACCAACTATCGCGCAGTCATCTCGTAACTATGTCGACTAGTCGCGCAGTATTACGCTCAGCAAGCGCAGTCGCGCGTCTAGAGCCATGTTTGTCGTGCCGATCGCGTCAAACAACTCTAGCCATCCGCTACAATGCTACGAGATATCCGATGGCCTCGCATTGGCTTGCAACAGGCATGCGAACCCAGAATTATTCCATCAACCGAAAATTGGATCCAAAAGCACGTGTTGATGTTGATACTCGCGCTCGACTGGGCTTCTACACCATATGCAAGCAACAAAGCATATTCAATATCGAGCCGCGTACGGCTCTGAGCATCTACAATGACTTCGTTGCGAAAACGAAAACAACTTCCCATAGCGACAACGTTTTGCGGATAGTCGAGAGTAGGTTCGCGGCCCATACTCCCCTCTATAGATGGCACTGACATGAGCAGAATACAACCTCCGATTGATTGATATTACATCTCTTGCGATGGCCACATTCAAAGTACCCGATCTCAGCAATCCAGAGATAAGAGCTCGACTGCCGCCTAGTCAGCACAAAGAAGTCGCTGTTATGCTTCTGCAAGGATGTGCGCAAGCTGGGGATCCTCTCGCGATCGTACACATCCTGACTGTCGTCTACCTTGGCAGTTTGGGCAACCAGCCCGCTCAAGAGATTGCAAGGCTCTTTCCACAGAAAGATATCGCCCAATACCGCCAGCTGCTCGACACGATTGACTTGCAGACCTTGGAAAAGACTCCAACTCTAGTAGTTGAAGTTTTGACTCTAAGAGGACTCTTCCTTGAGCAAGCAGGACAGAAGCAAGAGGCCATAAAAGCATACCAAGAAGCCATCAAGCCTTCAACTCTTAATGATCAAACTGGAAGGCCATTAACACATGCGATGCAATTTCCCATTATAGCACCCTGGAATGCGCTCGGTTATCTACTCAAGGCAGACAAAGATCCGAAAGTACAGGCAGAAGCCCAGTCATATTTCCAGAAAGGCGCTCTCGAAGGTGATGATCCGCTTTCATACTACGAACTCGCAGCCTATGAGCCGAAAACAAGCGAAAAGTGGTTGCGGTATACGAGCAAAGCAGCAGCATCCGGTCACAGACAAGCCATACTGGACCTCACTGGCTTCTATCAAGAAGTGGCAGCATCGAACTCGTCTGTTTTAGAAAACGGTAGCATACGACATGCGCTCAACTGGTTACTGACCTGGAGACGCGGAAGCGCCTCGAAGCTTGCGCGAGAGTGGTTACATGTGGCGTCTGTCGTTGGACACAAACCTTCCATGTTACAACTTGCGGAGTATCACAAGTCTATTGGTCATGAAGAAGAATACAGGAATTATTTGCGTATGATAGTCGATTCTGACAGCGCGGCCCTTTACAAGGAAGAGGCACCACAGCTTGTGCAAGTTGCGAGGTTGCGGCTTGCGGGAACCCGGTAACAGCCAATACAACCAGTAGGAGACCATGTCCTGTCTACTCCATTCTCTTCCAGTGTATTATGCGTGTTCGCCGCGCTCATACGCGCAGCCTGGTATCGTTTCAGAAGCTACATTCATCTGAAGTGTCCATCAGACAATTACGCAACTGTTCGATGATTCTGCGCAAACGATCTCCACCCCAGATCGATCTCGTACTACGCATTAGACATACATATGTGTGTTGAAAGACATCTTGGTCATATCCTCGACAAAACGACTATCTCCGGATCTACCCCGGCCTACCCCACCTCGGCAGGTGAGCTACTGGCCTTCCTTATCTGGCACTCTGATAGTGGCCACAGCATCCGATGACTGCTTGAAGACTTATATTCATCGCCAGTATGATCGTCCATCTACTTAACACATACCATTCTGCATCTTCACGAAGACATTAAGCACAATTTACCATCGAAAATTGATCTTTGATCACTTCAATCTAGCATAACATCTATTCTCACAATCATGTCGTCTATTATCCCTCTCAACAGTCATCGAAAAGCCTTGATAGGATCACCTTCAAACTTCTGGTCTCACTCTACCAAGAATGGCTTTGACCTCACTCATCCCTCTACGCACTCGTCACCAACTACCGGGCCCACACACACCATTCAGACACGAGCTGATGCCATCACAATCGATCCCTCGAAATCCGCCCTTGTCATCATTGACATGCAAAACTTCTTTCTCTCCGAAGCGTTCGGCCGCGGCCAAAAAGGTCCTGGTCACATGGCCTGCGAACAGTTGGTCAAGTACGCTATCCCAGCTGCACGCAAGGCTGGCATCAGAGTCGTATGGGTAAATTGGGGGCTTACAGAGGAAGAAGCCAAAGAGATGCCGCCAGCTGTGAAACGCGCATTTGGCTTCTTCTCCATTCCGGAAGATGCCGATTTCAAAGCCGACGACGCTTTTGGACACCAAGAAGGAAGCGTGAGCATGGATCGACATGGCAAAGAAAACCAGTCTTTCTACCGTGGTATCGGTGCTGACTGCGGGATGCTCAAGTTTCCAGACGGGAAAACCGTAGAGGGGGGTAAATTACTCATGCGCGATTCTTGGAATGCAGCGCTCTACCCTCCACTTGATGCCATGTATGCCGAAGGCAGCAAGTTGGAGAGTAGGCCTGACGTCTGGATCCATAAGAACAGGATGAGCGGGATGTGGGGTACCACGACACCCCTCAAAGAGTTTCTGGATAAAGAGGGTATTAGGACCTTGTTCTTCACAGGAGTGAATACCGACCAGTGCGTGGGTGGAACCCTGACTGATGCATTTAGCAATGGGTACGACTGTGTTCTGTTAGGTGATGGCTGTGGGACGACCACACCAGACTATGCGCAGCAGTGTTGGGAGTATAACGCTGCTAGAACCTTCGGGTTTTGCGCCAGCTGTCAACAGTTTGCCGAGGGTTTGGGTAACTCTTGAATATGTAATCTACGTATCTTCATTCGAATCCAGAAACCGACGTAGAAGGATGGTGAGTACATCTGTAAAGTCAATGGTCTCCGTGGTGACTCTTCAAAGAGTTCCCAGGAGCATCTGTGGGACGGTCTAATCCACACATAGCCAAGACCAGTCTGTCCACTTCGTCACCCCCACATCCTATAAAACCCACCCTTCCTGAGCCTACTGCTGCAAAGGCCACTGAAGCGAGACGTTCCGGTTGTTGTCGAGCACGGTATACGGCCTGTTCTTTAGGTACGCCTCGGAGGAGGTCTTGATTCTGGATTATTGGGGAGAGGACCGTGGTACGCAGCAAACCAGGATCGTTTTGTACAAGATCAGTAATTACGTTCTCACTTCTTACTAACTCCCATTGAAGCCCGAAACCGTCCTTGAAGAGAGCCTCGAAGGCGTCCACTCTATACATTGGCCAATGGAAGTATCCCGTGAATATTGTAGTACAGCCGTTTCTGGTTCGTTCGATCAAGTGATTACGTAGCGTGGTGCTCGGTTCTTCGTTCTCCAGGATGTGATTGCTTTGGACTAGAATAGCATTTGGCCAGTCTGTACTGAGGCAGTCGATAGCGTCTTTTACCGTGCGGGACTCGTGGACCGCTGCTCGTTGTATCAGACGAGGCGCAATCTTATCTGATACACCGAACGGCGTGGATTGATCTCCTGCCAGTGTGATGACAAGAATATTGAGCATGATGGAAGCCCTTGCCAATGTAACTTTGACTGTAAACGAAAAGGATGGGTCTGGAACTGAAGAGTTCGAGAGTAGTAGATGGAGTCTTTTTATAATAACATAAATATGCGCTGAGCAATCCTCAGCTCATCAAACGAAGGGGCAAGCCACACATGATCCGGCATCGTGAACAATCAAGCAGGGAAGTAAGCTGCCAGCATGTCTGATGGGCTTATTCTTCCGCAAATATGAAGACATGGGAGACGTCCACGAAAGTAAGTTCCACCAGCTCTGCGAAGTATCCTGAAAAATCATGTATTAAATTACACAGTTCAAGTTGCGCAGGAGTGGCGCTTCCTGATCAGACGATATCGCCCCGCCAAGGCCGCCGCGGACATCGGAAAAAGCCTCGGCTAAGCAGCGCGAACGCAAGAAGCAGCTCCGATGCTATCCCCCACCCTGGTTCTTCTACATCATTACCGGTGATACCCCCGAAACATTACGCTGCCCGGTGCTGAGGAGGAAACATACACACAATGTCAGGACTGAGGATATTAGTGCCCGTCAAGCGGGTCATTGACTATGCGGTACGTCCATTACACTAACACATGGACATGGCGCATGCATGTTCGACACTTGAAGGCTTGAAAGAATGGCTCCGAGGATGATGGCACTCAACACGGCTGTCTCAGTAGCGAATGACACTGACACCATTATCAGGTCAAACCCCGCGTGAACCGCGCCCAAACCGCAGTCGAAACCGCAAACGTCAAGCACTCGATGAATCCCTTCGACGAACTCTCCATCGAAGAAGCCGTCCGCATGCGCGAAAAGAAGGCCCACCACGCGAATGCCCCCAACGTAGAAGAGATCGTCGTCTTCTCCGCCGGCGTCCCCAAATCCCAAGACATCCTCCGCACAGCCATGGCCATGGGCGCAGACCGAGGCATACACGTAGTCGTAGAAGAGAAGGACGCCCTGGAACCACTGGGCGTCGCGAAGCTTCTACGGAAAGTAGTAGACGAACAAAAGAGCAATCTTGTAATCCTAGGCAAACAAGCCATCGACGACGACGCCGGCCAAACAGGACAAATGCTCGCAGGGCTCCTCAACTGGCCGCAAGCAACACAAGCCTCCAAAGTCACAATCAACGATCAAACCGTCGAAGTCGTCCAAGAAGTCGACGGTGGTGTGCAAACAATCAAAGCCAAACTTCCCATGGTCATCACCACGGATCTGCGCCTCAACGAACCCCGATACGCTAGCTTACCCAACATCATGAAGGCGAAGAAGAAGAAGCTGGACAAGAAGAGTCTGAGCGACTATGGGCTAGACACTGAGATCAGATTGAAGACAGTAAAGGTCACCGAGCCACCACCACGGAAGGGCGGTGTCAAGGTAGAGGATGTGGATGGCATGATTAGCAAGTTGAAGGAACTGGGTGCTTTGTAAAGAGCATGCCTATGTATCAATATTCCAAAAAGACTGAAATGCAACAAAAACGGACAGATCCTCGCAGCGTTTGTGCGACTACAACTTGTCGCCCCATACATTGTCCCCCAAGACCTCACGATCCTCCAAGTCCAGCTTCCCATAGCCTGGTTCCGTCTTCCTCACCCTCAGATCCTCCTCATCCTCACTACTGTATTGCACGTTCTCGTTCTCGAGGAACTCCTTAACTCCATCGCTGTCCTCCTCGCACCGCTTGACATACCCACCAGTATAATCGTGCGACTTAACCCTCTTGACACCCACCCAACCCAATCCCTTCTGTAGCCTGTCCAACTCCTCCAACTCCTGCTCGTTCAGCCCCTGAGCCCTTTTCAGAGTCAGAAGCGAGTTGATCCTTTCCGAAGTCTCCAGGTAGGATGACCGGTCTTTCTCATTCCATTTCGCGCTGTATACGTCTGGCTGTTCGAGATCGACGCGTATTACTTCCCACCAGTGAGATCGCATGGCTTGCGAGAATGTGCCGTCGAGGTTTTCCTGCCTTGAATCGATGCGGTAGAATGCTGTTGTGTTGCCGTCTAAGGAATCTGTCCAAATCGCGTTTACCTTCTTCTTCTCCACGTTTCCTTCTTCGTGCGTGTCCGTATTGGGATTACAGCCTTGCAACACGCAATCAGCCAGCTTCTTATCCGCTGCTTCTAAATCATTGAACCACGCGACAATCTCGACATATTGCTCCGAATTTTTGGGGTATTCTAGTTCAATGTACCATTTTTCTGCGAGCGTGGTACCGGACATGGTAACGCCAATACTAGGGTATTCATAGTTGATGTGATCGTGGCCGGTCCACTGAGAAGGGATTTTAGGTAGTTCGGCGGAGGCGACGCGGAATGAGGGTTTGTCTTTGGAACGTGAGTGGGAATGGATGACCAGGTAGACGGAGTTGACAGCCATTTCGGATATTGTGCAACTTTCTGACAGAAGGCTCGGGATAGGAGATGAATGTACTCGTAATATAACTTAGGCCTCGCGATGGACAAGCTTTGTGTAGAGTGACACTTTTTGCTAACAAACTAGCACGGTTGCGTGAAAGCATGCCTCAATTTTTGCTCCTACTAGCTACCACCTACGTTTGATCTATGTATGTCCCTAGTTTATCCTAGTTCCCAAAACTGACAGCGACAACTTCCCACCAATACCTAGTCATGACACTCTTAGTCCCATCATCAAGCATTGTCGGCTGATGAACAACGTAAAAAGCGCTATCCATCATGTGATCATTTAGCTTCGAAACATCCCAAAGAGACTTTGGAGCTCCTATCACTTTGATACCGGTTGCCCTGAACCCGTCTATATGCTTCTTCGCTTCATCGACCAGGAGCTG